CCCAGAAGAATAACAAAGGGCTGGATGCATTCCAGTGTGAGAGGAGACCTGAACAACTCCCTCCTCTTTGCTGGCTCTGGAGGGGTAAGATCTCGGACTGCCTTGCTGTCTTCTTTCTTTCCACACCATGTAGGCTGATCTGCCTTCACTAGTAGCTCTCCTTTAGTTCTGGTCTCACTCATTAGTAGAGAACCTTGCTAGAGGGGGTGGTTAGTGTAGGAGATAATTTGCTTATTCCTGTGTTCTGTTCTCTGCCCAAGGACCACTTTCATAACCCCCCAGTCCATTCTTTACACTTTCTCCCAGATATGTTCTCTGTTTTTCATAATCGTTTTCCTCTATTTATCTCAAACTGATATTCTTATTTACTCTTTAGGGGCATTTTCTTCTCAGTATCTAGTTTTTGGTTCACCACGGTCACTACATTTTGAAATTCAGTAATTACACTTTTCATATGAAAGCTGATTATAGATTGTTCCGTTTTTGTAGATCCAATATGCTCCCAAATTATTACCATAATTAGAAATTTTCAAAAAACTCTTGTACTTTTTGTAGTAAATCTGTTTCATAGAACATTTTCTCTGATATTTCAGGTCACTTTTTACATTTTATATTATGAACTTATCATAGGATCAGTGATTATTCTCTTGATTCTTCCTTATTGGGGATATTAGTTGGCTTAGAATGTTACAATGCAGTAAAAAACAATAAGTTTATTTCTCTCTCATATGCAGCCAGGAATTCTAAGTGGGTAGTGGGTCTGCACCACACATTCAGGCTCAAGAAAAATCTGCTGTCTTCAACATGAATTTCCAGGATCCCTCTGATCACTGGGGTTCTAGCCAGTGGAGAAGGAAAAAGTGCATAGAAGAGGTACCTCCTCTCTCCTAAAGGGCCTGGGTCCATAAATGTACCCAGGTGGGCTTTGGCCCACCTTCAAGTGGAACTAATTCAGTCAAATGGCCACCTCTAGGGCAACGGAGTCTAGCTTTGTGTCCAGCTATGATTCTGCACTGTGACAAACGGCGAGAGTGGATTTTGATGGTAGCTGGAGCTCTGTACCATCTAGATGAATTGAGGAAGAGGTCTTCTAGGTTGTGCAGTTTTGACATTTAGATGGGTTCTGATAGAGATTGTGTCATTCCTGAGCCAAATCTTCCCCCAAAAAAAGAAAATGTAGATTTTTTTATAGTTGTAATTGGCCAGATCAAAGGTTTGTGAGGATAGTAGAAAGAAAATGGACAGAGACAGCTACCTGACCGTCAGCTTCTCTACTGTGTTAAAAAGATTTTTTTTTCCTGAAGTGTTAGTTTTTTCATTCCCTAGTTTGCTGGGGCACTTTCTCCTTTCACAGCAGCTGATGTTCTGGTCTTCATCAGGCTCCAGCCACCACAGCCCCCTCTGCTTTAGTTAGCAAGCTGTGTGACCCAGCCAGGGTGGGGGCCACTGAGACTGCCACTCTATGCTGGCCCTGAGTGTGACCAGTAGGATCTCCTGCCCACCTACTGCCCTCCCACCCACCCTCCCCTCAGGCAGGTCCTGCCAGCTTGAGCTCAGGGTGTTGGTGTGAACCTGCATGGTTTGATTAAGTTACTACCCAACCAACTTTCCCCAGCCTGTGGTGCTTCCAGTTATCTGGCCTGCCCTTCACTTTGGCCTTTCCTTCATGATAGAGCTGGTAGAATTCCTTTGACATTTCTTGCATGAGTAATGAACTCTCTCTGGTTTCCAGGGCCAGCATAGGTCTTACCCCCGTTTTGATATCTCTTTGGCCATTTGCAATAGAAATTTGGCATTCATCTATTCACATATTTCTTATTTATGAATATTTAATGAGATGGATACTGTGTCAGGTGGTGTGCTTAGCTCTGGAGATGCAGTGGTGAGAACAAATAAATGTAGTTGCTGTCTTTTTAAAGTTTGCTGGAGAGCAGAGAGAGCGCCTGAGGAAAGACAGGTGTGAACCAAGTAATCACACAGAGAAATGTCAATCACAATTCTGCAGAGTGTCCCCAGAACTGACAACAGGGTCATCTTCCTAGGCAGTGGGTCAGGGAAGGTATATAGAAGGAGGGGGACTTTGGTGGAACTGAAGGATGAATAGTAGGGTTTTTTAGGGGAAGGTGATAAAGGAGGGCCTTCCAAGCCAGGAAGTCCCAAGCATGTGTCCTCTGGTGGGAAGAAGTGGGGGTGCTGGAATAGAGGTGGGATTGTGGCACACAGTCATATTTGCAGTTTGCATAATCACCCGGGCTGCAGGCTTCCGTGTGAGGAGCTGCTTGGAGAGGAGCAGTGGTAGATGGGTGTCTAGACTCAGTAGGAGGTGGTTGTGGTCATCCAGGTGACAGATGATGGTGACTTAAATGAAGATGGGGATGGGGATGGGGAAATGGTAAAGGTGATAGTCAAACCCATTAGCATGAGCTCTGTCTTTATGGATTTCATGAGTTCAAAGGGAGCTACATTTCTTTTTACCATCAAATCGTTAAATGTGTTCTTCCTTTTTTTCTTGAACTTTTTAAGCAAGACAAGCAGTATACTTTTGTTCTAAACTCAACAAATGAAAAAGAGCATTATTGCATATGCCTGTGTCTAAAATATAGTGTTTTTATGATGTTTAATTTATATTTTTATATGAATGAATGACTATCAGCTCTTCTCTCAAGCCTTTGACTCCTAGATGAGACTAGTTATAGTCAGGACTATCTCTAGCAACCTCTATTTTAGGGGTAACAAGTAAGGGGAGGGTGTGTCTCACGTCTCTATAGACCTATGTCAGACATTATTAATTGATCATAGTGCTCTTTTCTTGCCAAGTCCAGATGTCATCTCAGAATGCTTCTCCCAAAGCCCTTAAGGCAGCCTATGCCAATAGTACTCTACCTGAAATCTACTTGTTTTTCCCTCTATTTTAACAGTGAGTAGAAACCCACAAAGAAGCTGTTGATGCCGAATCCTCTATACTTCCCCTGTGAAAATGGCAGTGATCCTATGATATCTAAATTTATCTTTCTCTTGTACTTTAAAATTGGCCTCTGTAAAGTTAGAGACAGTCCACCAGATTACTCTCACTTCTGACACCAACTACTGCAGCGTTCAGGAGTCCCCAAGACCACTCTCAGGTTTGATAGTTTGCTAGAAGGACTCACAGAATTCACTAAAAGCTGTTAAGCTCATTTATGATTTATTGCAACAAAAGAATACACATTAAAATCAGCCAAGGGAAGAGATGCGTGGGACAGAGTTCAGAAGAGTTCCATTGCAGAGCTTCCCATTGTCCACTCCTGATGGAGTTGTAGACAGGAGTTGTTAACTCCTCCTTCCAATGATGTGTGACAACATCAGCACGGAGTGGAATGTTGCTCCTCAAAGAAGCTCACCTGAGTTGTGGTATCCAGAGATTTTAGCAGGGCTTGATCCCGTAGATGTGGCTGACCACCCACATGGCCGACCTGAGCCTTCAGCCCCTCTGGAGGTAGAGCTGATACTGTGTGACCCAAAGCCCTCACTATAAATCAGTGTGACTCAGAGCCCCTAAGTAATCAGACACTAACGCAGGTCATTCCCAGGTCTTAGAGATCACCTCCCAGAAGCTGAGGGCAAAGGCTAGACCTCTGTTTGGATAAGGTGAAATTCATGACTACACAGCCTCTTGGGCTCATCCTCAGTTTAGCGATCGTGTAATGATCTGATGTCATCCAAACATTTGCTTTTAGAAATTATTTTGCAGGAGAAAGATGAGATATAAAAACTGAACCTAATCACGGACATTCTCTGGAAGATGGTTAGGGAGGGTGGTGGTTCGATGAGGACAGTGGGCTTCTGGGGTCTGGCTGCCTCTGTTCACATCCCAGTTCTACCTGTACTAACTAGTTAAGTGACTGTAGCCCATTGTTTTACCCTTCTCTGCCTCAGTTTCCCCATTCATAAATGAGAATAATAATAATGCCTACCTTGTGTTGTTATGAGAATTAAATGAGATAATACATATTAAGAGCAAAAGAATGCATGGCCTTCAACAAATACCAGATACTGTTTTTATATTTATCATAGGAAAAATTTATCAATCTCTTTTAAATAATTTTCCTTGAGAAAATTCATTGGAGTTTTTACCTAAATTTTTTCTATTAATTTTTTATACCATCGTATCTCTTAAGCACTAGTGAAAATATGAGGTAACCATCTTTCCTGAGAAATAACATTTCTGTTTTGCTGAGCAAGCCCTGAGTTAGAGAGGTGAGAAGTGCCCCTCAGGGCAGGTGCGTTCTGATGAGTCTGCTGTTGGCAGATCTTTGTTGCAAATTGTGGGTAGATTTAAAGGCTAAAAAAAGATGTGTTGTTTTCCCGAGTCGCTACTGAGAAAATCTAGAAGGAGAAAATAAGTTAATCTTGAGTCAGTAGTTTTAGGACTCGAGTGCCAAGCCCCGGTCTGTTCACTCACCTCTTTCGAACATCAGGCCCCTTGGAGGCTGTCTATTTGCAAGCATCACCTTGCCAGAGCTAAAACACAGTCTGCCTGCCTGAGGAGGGACTAATTGGCCTTTTGGAAACTGTTTAAAACTGAATGAAGCACAGGCGCTTTCTCTCGTGGTAGTAGAGCCTTGAGTTCTTGCCAGCCACTAATTGTTCTTCAGGCTTTCCTGTGAAGGCGGCTGAACTTGAGAGCTGGCTTTCGGTCTTGCCATCTGTGAACTGCCACTTGTCCACATGTGGTGTGTATTAAGATTGTTTTTGCTGGGAGCATCAGTATTGGAATGTGTTCAAATTTAAATGTGATGCTCTTGTTTGCCATGCTTGCAGGTTAGCCATTGTTACTCTTGGGTTCCCAAGGACAGTGGGAGCCAACTATATGAGTACCTGGCTGATAGAGCTTTAAAAAACCTGTTAGCTTCTAGGCTGGGCACTCCAGCCTGTGTCCTTAGATGTGGCTTACTTATAGGATAGCTACATACAGATAGACATTGTAAATACTGCCTAATTGAATGCTTTTTCCCCCCTAGCTTATTTCCAGTGATGCTGATGGAGCCATCCAAAGGGCTGGAAGATTCAGAGTGGAAAATGGCTCTTCAGATGAGGTAAGGAAGCCTCCCCACTTCCTGTAATGCCACCAAGCACATGATTGCAGTGCCTGGGATATAGCAGTGAAAGAGTTCTGGAGGAGGTAAATAGAGCTTTTCAGAGCTGTGCTTGAAGCCAATGGAAGGGAAATGTCAGTATTCTGGCATGGAAGGTGCTATTCATAGGGTGACACATACCCTTTAAAAGATCTATGTTAAAACCAGGTAGACACAGGAAGTTGTTCTGCCAGCAGTGGAGCCAGAGACAATTCTACCACCCTCTGTGAATGGCCCCGAGTCCCAGTACTTCCTCCGCCAGGCTGATCAGCTTGGCACGGCCCTCCGAGCAGTGCCAGGATCCAGGAGGGAGATGCCAAAAATTACTGCAATGACAAAATGTCATCAGGAAAAGAGGCTGGTACTGCCTACCACTCCTTGGGCCACACTTACTTTCTGGGTTCTCGGTCTTCCTTGCTGCAAGCCACAGACACTCTCCTGACTTTCTCTTTTTTTTTTTTTTTTTTTTTTCCCTTTAAAACTGCCACTACCATCTCTATCCCACGGGGTCTACCCTTTAAACTGCAGAGTATGGCAAAAACTCCCCACCCTTTTTCTTCTCTGCTGCCTTTTTGCACAGTAGCTCATCATAGCTCTAGCTCCCTGACCCTGACCCTGGGCAAGGACCCCAGCCTCCCTGAGCCTGTTTTTTTCATCTGTAAATTAAAAACTGTCTCAAGATTACTGCAAGAATTCAGTGCGCTATGCTTGTAAAACTCCTAGCACTATGCCTGGCACATAGTAAGCATTCAGAAGTGCTAGTTATGATGCTATTGATGGTTATTGTTGTTGTCATCACTGCTACATTGCCAGTTTTCTCCTGACCACCTCCTAATGCAAATTCTTGGTGAAGAGCTATTAATTTAACTCGAAAGCCCACAACATTTGGGAAGTGATTGCTCATTTTCACCCTTGGCCTTAGCCATATACATTCACCTGACCCTTGCCATTGACATGTTAGCCAAGTTGGGGCTGAATACCCCTGAATAGGTACCCACATACTTCTTGTCCAGAATGATGTCGGCTGACCCACATAGAAGAATGAACTCATGGGAAATTTTGCTTCTGAACCTTAGAAACAGCCCTCCCCAAATGGCCTGGCCCCTGGGACTAGATAGCCTCATCATCACAAGCTGAGGCAGCCAAAGGTTCTCAGGAGCTAAGCCAGGCACAGAGGCATTGAGTTCTTGCTCTCCAGTGCTTGGAAAGCTAGCAGTCACCATGCTGAGTTTCTACTTTGAGAGTCCATGGAGGCTGTATACCTTGAGACATCTTTCTGTTACCAAAATTTTGCAGAACTTCAGCCCATCCTGAAATGGACAAACCAAACTGGACTTTGCCACCCTATATAAGCACAACTCTGGCCCCTCTGCGTCCAGTGTCTGGAGGAAATACACACCTCCCAGGAAAGACATCAATGGGGCCTTCATGTGATCCTGTAATCACCATACACTTGGCAGTCAAACACTGCTCACCTGGCCCTGCTGTACACCAGAGGATAGGTTCTGGGCCCCAGTCAGGGGTTAGAAATGACCTGTGCTTGGGTCATGATCAGAAGTGGCTTAAGAGTCAGTCTTCCCAGGGTTCAAATCATGGCCCTACAACTCACCAGCAGTGTGGCCTTGGGCAGTTCAGTCGACGTCTTGGGAACAATTTGGAGAGTTACTGATTTCACAAATCATTGCGGTCTGTTGTGTTCAAAACACATTCCTATCTCAGATTGCTTCTCTGGAAATACAATATCAAGGATCAAATACATTTTTAGGTTTTATTTCCACCAGAACTACTGAGCATGATGCTCCATTGGAGCACCTTGGCTGTTTTGTATTGATGGTCTTCAGTCAGAAGTTTCTGGCCAATGGTACTTCCTAGCCTGATAAAAGACTTTACGGGCACTTGACTTCCAGAGGGAAAAAAACAGCTGGCTTGCTCTGAATTAGTTAAAGCTGTTAGTGCAGTAAAGGACTCACTATATGTCGTTGCTTAAAAATTCTCAAACCTATGAACAAACAAATTGAAAATTGTGTTTTGGGGTTATTTGCGCTTTTATTATTCGATTGTAAGAGTTTTTTATATAGTCTGGATAATTAGACACTTATCAGATATATGATTTGCAAAAATTTTCTTCCATTCTGTGTTTTTATCTTTCCACTTTCTTGGTTGTGTCCTTTGAAGCACAAAAGCTTTAAGATTAGATCATATCTAATTTGTCTATTTTTTTTCTTTGATTGCTTGCACTTTTGTTGTTATGTCTGAGAAACCGTTGCCTAATCCGAGGTTGCTTGGTCACTTTTTATTGTTTACTGTTCCCTTGAGATAATGTCAAATTTGTCTTTTATTTCTTTAAACGTAGTGTAATGGTTTTATCATCTGCGACTGAGAATTCCGAAATGTGAAGTTTTTGTGGCTGTTGTTTAATTGTTTTCCTCTGGCCTGTGTTCCTCATGTCATGTGCTTCTCTGTGTGCTAGGCTGCCTGATCGTGTACTATTTGTTATTCCTGAATATTACTTTTTCAGAATAATATGAGACCTAAGATGAGTTGCTTTTTGGTAGGGAGGACTTATGTTTGCTTTTACCAGATACCTTTAAACCAAATACCCAGCTTGAGACCTTTTAAACTACCCAAGTGCTGCAGATTACCACACCTCAGAGGCGCCCCCCCGCTCAGCTCTATTACAGCTGCAGATACATGTGAAAGCTGGCGTGTGGCCCCCACACCTCAGAAGTGCTCCCCGGCTCAGCTCTGCTTGGTGCTGTCACAACTGCCTTGTAGTTTTTGGTGGTAGAGGTGGTTTCTTCTGATTCCCTCTTACTTGAGTGTGTAGCCCTTTGGGATCCTAGCGTAATGTGGGGCTGGGTTCCTATTGGACTTGCCTACCCCAATGGGTCTTGGGATTTGAGTCTTTGTCCCCCATGAGGTCACCAAAACCCAAATTCAATTTTGCTGGGATTGACAAACATCCTCAAGCCAAAAAAGACTTTCATGATGCATTTACCTCTCTAGGTTCCCATTTGCCTTTCAGTTTTAGTTGGCAATTCTTACTATTTGGTAAGCACTCCAGTGCTTTTTTTTACCCCCCAAGACAGAGTCTTGCTCTGTCACCCAGGCTGGAGTGCAGTGACATTATCTCAGCTCACTGCAACCTCCGCCTCCTGGATTCAAGCAATTCTCCTGCCTCAGTCTCCCGAGTAGCTGGGATTACAGGTGCGTGCCACCATGCCCGGCTTATTTTTGTATTTTTAGTAGAGACGGGATTTCACCATGTTGGCTAGGCCGGTCTCGAACTCCTGACCTCATGATCCGCCAGCCTTGGCCTGCCAACGTGCTGCGATTACAGGCATGAGCTGCTGCGCCCGGCCTCCAGTGCTTTCAAGGAGATGATTTTAATATTCTTCTAGTACTTTTAGTTTTTTCAGTGGGAGGGGTAGATCTGAATAATCTAGCCTGCCATTACCAAAAAATAAGTTGTATCAGGAGTGCTTTTCATATAATATGACAAAACATTCATTCAGCTGGCATTCATAGGGTCATTTCCTAGCGCCAGACGGGCTGAGCCCTGGATGCAGGATTGAATAAGCCTGCTGAGGTCCCTGCTCCCAGGGACCTACAGGTGGCAGGGAGAGCCATCAGTAACCAATAGAAACACATAGAAGGATTGCAAATTTTGGTAACTGCTATGGCAAAAACAGAGGACCATGGTGCAAAGAAATAGGAAGAGCCCTAGTTAAGATGGGGTCGTCAGAAAGCCTTTACCAGCGACAACCAATGAGGCTGAGCCTCTGAGCCGTGCTTCTCAGACTGTCTTTTTAATTTCCGGTCAGTTGCAGGAAATTAAATATGTGGTCCTACCTTATGCAACTCATTAAGGAATTGGATATCATCCAGACTGGTCTGGACTGTTTCATGAGATGAATCCACTGAGCATGTACTTTGATGCCACAGGCATGTCAGAACACTATAAAGGTTTCTTGTATACCTTGTCATGGGCTAGTAAACAGTTTGCAGATTGGCATCCATCAGAATGGACCGTTCTTTCCTGCCTTAGAGTTCATCTGGGCCAATCCCCTTTCCAATGCATGAGTTCCTACATCAGCTTTGCCAGCAGTCAGCTGATCTCTTCCTGCTTGAGTATATCTCCAGCAGGAAGATGCCTCCTTGATAGGATTTTTTTCCTCCTGACACTAATTAATTCTGACACCAACTGAGTGTCCTACAATTCAATTCTCACACCAACTACCTGGAGTTAGTGTCAGACTCCACAGGTTTAAGGGCTCAGTCCCACAAGACTGTCCTCATTTCAGAAGCCAGTCACAAGCATTGGGTCTCCAGGTTACCTACATTCCACATTTCCGACCAACTTGGCTACAAAGTCAGGTAGCCGTTACCACAGCCTCCTCCTCAGCTTCCATAACTCCCTAAAATCACTCACAGAATTCATAAAAGCACTTTTTTTTTACTATTACTCATATATTATAAAGCAGTAGTCCCCAACCTTTTTGGCACCAGGGATCAGTTTTGTGGAAGACAGTTTTTCCACGGACCAGGTAGCGGGAGATAGTTTCGGGATGATTCAAGCACATTACGCTTATTGTGCACTTTACTTCTATTATCATTACATTGTAATATATAATAAAATAATTATACAATTCACCATCATGTAGAATCAGTGGGAGACCTGAGCTTGTTTTCCTGCAACTAGATGGTTCCATCTGGGAGTTATAGGAGACGGTGACAAATCATCAGGCATTGGATTCTCATAAGGAGCACACAACCTAGATCCCTCGCGTATGCATTTCACAATAGGGTTCATGCTTCTGCGAGAATCTAATGCTGCTTCTGATCTCACAGGAGGCGGAGCTCAGGTGGTAATATAAGCAATGGGGAGTGGCTGCAAATATAGATGAAGCTTTGCTCACCCACAACTCACCTCCGGCTGTGTAGCCCAGTTCCTAAGCGGC